TCAACTTCAATATCGCGTGTATTTCAGCTGGATTTTAACGTTCACTCGCGACCCATTTTTAGAAATATTAATGCGCACTTAAGCGACTGTATTTCGCCCGAATGTTACACTTTCGATGGCTCCCGTACGAATGAGGAGGGTAAATATTCGGTCATGTTCGATTCTGCGTGCCTCGAAGTTATAAGCAGTATTTACAACTTTGGTTTTGTATTTCTGAGAAATTGCGTACCTCGGTAACAACATTCGACACAATACACGTGGCAAGATAATCCATGGCCGATATTACACTTTGCGATAGATAATATGAAATATTACAACAGTACTATATAAAATATTATAAGATATTATAATATTAATATATAAAATATTATACAATATTAATATAAATATTATATAATATTAATATAAAATATTATACAATATTAAATATTATAAAATTATAATATAACATATATGTATAATATTATAATATTAATATATAAAATATTACACAATATCAATATATAAAACATAGCTATTATATATTAATATTATACAGTATTAATATGTAAAATACTGCTATTCTATATAAAATATAGAATATAGAATAATCTAAATGGAAACAGAAATAGCATCGAAAAGAGTATTAATCGTATCGTAAAAACCCTACATTGTTTATTACACAAACTCAAAAAAAATTTCCTGAATAGATAAGCAAAATAATATAAAATATAAATTTATTTAAACATATACATATACATATATATATATAATATATATATATATAGTTTAATATTTTTATTTAATTATATTAACGGTAATGTAATTAAATAAAATTGTATAATAAAAATATATTTCAGTAACAATTAAAAATTAATAATATTATTAACAGTTTAAAGTAATGAAAGTGAATTTTTTAAAAAAATAAATAAGTAAAATTTATTTTGTGCCTTTTGTATCAATTAATTCATTTAATTATAATTTTAATTATCTCGAAGGTAAATGATCTAAATATACAGTATCATCATATGTCATATATATGTATATTAAATCTAAAGCTCCATCGTCGCAAAGACGATTGAACTCCAATGCCAAGAAATATGGCGATTTCTTGTTGTACAGGGCCGTAGTATGCGGTCGCACCGGTCGACATGGCTCGCTCGTTACACCCACGCACGGCCCGCTAGCATCTTGCGGGTGAACCGGAGAGCTTATTGATTTTTCCCGTGGAAAAAAAAAAAAAAAAATGTTTTCCGGCTGACACGCGCGCACCACGGGATGCCGGGATATTGCTTTAAATTCGAGGGTTATGGAAACGTGGAACCCACTCGGTCGACGGGGGTCGTGTGGGTGCTTCTCTCTCTCTCTCTCTCTTTTTTTTTTTTGGACGGCAGATAGGGTGACTGGAGGGCGTTAGGATTACGGGGTTCTTTCCGGAATTTTCTGAATGATTGGTTCCGCGTCGGTGGTTATTTCTTCGGTGATGAACCGTTTTTTAATGGTGCACGGATTGGATAGACGATTGCCAAGTGCGTCGTTCGTTCTTGTGCCGTAATCGCACCTTCCCGAGTTTCTCGCCGACTTTCTTTTACCTCACTTTCCTTCGTTACGATTTCGATATCTCGTGTTTGGCGTAAAGATTCCACGCGACTCTCGTGTAAACTGGATGTATTATTTCTTAGAGTATTCTCATTTCACGATAAAACGATAATAAAACAAGTGTGAAAAGATTAGATAACAAATTGATCGCGTTGCGAGTTTACGATTCGTTGTTAAGTTGAATCCGGGGCAAAAAGAAAGCAGCGAGTCGAAGAGAAATGAATCTCAAAAAAAAAAAAAAAGATAGAAGAGAAAGAAAATAAAGCGAACGTAATTTCTCGGAAATTCCATTTCTACGTAAGCAGGAATAGTATCTGCGACATTATTGGAACGTGTTCGTCGGATTTGTGCAACTGTGAAAGGGAGGAAAATAATCAACGTGGGATTAAAAAATTCGTAGAACAAAACGTTCGCCCGGGACAGTGACGGCGCGAGAGCGAACAAATTAAAGGAAACTCGAATATATATTCCGATATACATACATACACTGCGAAATGAACTGCAAAACCGGGGACAAAGGGGTACGCAATTTCATTGGTGGATGAAAATTCGCTGCAACGAAATTCATTCTCTCTTTTAACCGGCTTTTACGCGAGACATTAGCAAGATCCAACGATCGAAACTCTCTTGAACTGTTGAAACAGTTTTCGGAATTTCCCAACACGACAATGTACTTGTTTTCGATAAGAATTTCTCGAATGGTCAAAGTGTCCATTCTCCAACTTTTAAGTTGGCCAATTTAATTTTTATCTCCGCGCGCCAACGTGGGCAATAATTTTATTCTCGCGCTAATTAAATTTGAATTTTGTGAGAGACGCGAGTGTCTACAAAATTAAAATTGTTCCGCTTAATTTTCGTCACTCGCGCGTGTATTTCTTCGCGGCTCATCCTCTCGTGATTCATTTTTGAAATATCCGCTGAATATATCATGAGCGGTAGACCTTTTCAACGATAACGTATATATCTGTGACAGAGTGTAATGTTTTTCTCTCTCTCTCTTTCTCTCTCTCTCTCTCTCTCCCTTGATGAAAAATTACCGAAGAACGAACATTAATATCCGTATTTTTTCCATTTCCATTTTCCACTTTCAGAAATAAATCATCCACGTCAATTTTAACTGATCTTAAATAATTTATAGAGTTGAATAATCTTTCATACGAGGGGAAAAATCTTCTCTCTTCGTAAAAAAAAAAGAAGAAAATGGAAAGAAGAACAAAAATTCGGAAAACCAGCTATTTTCAGACGCCTGCGGGTTGACGCGGTTCCTTGAACAAACGAGAGAAGAGTGGGTGGGTAAAATCAGAAAAATGAGGGGAAACAACGAGAACAAAGAGGTGGATGGTGTAACCGGATGGCTACAACGTGGAAAAACGTATCAGTTATTTTTAGAGGGTACTGCGTGGTACCGAATACCTGCGGAGCGACGGATTTTGCTTCTTTTCTCTCCATTTCCTCCCTTTTTTCCCCGAATAGTATTCTGATATTTTCAGAAGAAAATGAAAAAAAAAAAAAAGAAAAAAGAAAACGCCAACGTCTGCAATATTCACGCAATAAACAGACTGCGTACTTTCGCGCGTCTACGAGTGAGCTGAAGGTTTTCAAAAGAGAAGTTCATAAAAATACGAACTGAGAGATATGAAGAGTATCTGAGGTATGATGCTGAAGTTTCAAGCATTTCCGCGGTGGACGTACGTATTGCGCATATAAAAATCAGAGTCAAAGCGGGATCGTTGTTAAAATAGTTTCGCAGAGAGGTATTTGTAATATTTGTAAGTAGAATCAAAAGTCAGGGTTTGAAACGTAATTTATCTATCTGCTGGCGGAAAAAAATATACCAAACACATTTCCGAGCACTGAGTCACGACTCGCGACGATAGTTCTTGTCACAATTTTTTTTTGGCGAAAAAAGAGTTACGTGTTTACTAGATCAAGGATTCGCGAGCACAAGAGTTCCAAGACGACACGTGTTGTTATTATCTATCCGAAGTTAAGACTGTTTTTCAGCCATTTTTGACTTAGATATATTCTTCTATATACATAAACAAATAATAATGACCTGTATATATATATATATAATTATTTAATAATATATATATATATATACTACGTAAATTAATAATAATATATATATATATAAATTAATAATAATATATATTAATTATTTAATATATATAAATTTATAATTTTAATAGTAAATGGTAACTTCATTATTATTTATTTAATTATACATAATAATGATAATAACAAAAGCCTGTTTTTAGCCATTTTCGATTTAGATATTCTTCACGTCAAAATGGTAATTTTATTACTAATTATTGAATTTTATGTAACACTAGCAACAACAATTATATATTATTTATATATACTGTTGTATGTGATAACATAATTGATAACATAACAGTACAGTATATATTTTATTCACACATCAACACTCGGTTTAGAAATATTCGTTTTTCACACGAAAATGGTAACTTTATTGGTAATGATTGTAGAGAATGAAGGGGAAAAAGAAATATTTCTCTCGTTTCTACCGCTGATTCGAAACGATCTTAAATTCAGAGAAGACAAAGGCATAGATTTCATTTCATTCGAGTTGAACCAATTCGATCCTATTTCTAGCTTGTTGGCATGATGGCGAACGAGCATCTCGCTGACATCGGCCTTTTCATCGATTCTTAATCCACTGTGAAATCTACGCAGTCCGTGGAGCATTGTGCTCCACTTCAAACCTGTAAGCACTTTTGCGCATCGTGAATTTTTACTCAGACTCAAACTATGCTATTCAAATAAATAAATGAATGTACAAATTCACGTAAATATTCCGTGAATTCCGTGAATATTTATCTGAACGAAATTTTTCATTATTTTCTTATTTCAAATAATAAAATAGTATTCTACGTAACTATATAATATATATAATATTATATGTTAAGGTGGTCCACTCATCTATATTTTTCTTCAATGAAACATCAAAATGGAAGAAAAACACTAATTTTATTAATTTTAAATTTAATTTAAGTTCAAACATCGACTACGTTTTGAAAATTATTTCTTTCAGACGTTAATAATTAAAAGTAATCACGGACTTCTTTCAGTACGATTTCTGATCCCATCCTATATCATATCTTAAATATTCCATTATTTTACTGTTCGACACGAGTCTTTGAACTCCTCGAGTTCCATCTCGCTTGAACTTGAACTGTCGCGCGGAAGGACAAATCGACAAATAAAACTGGGAATCAGCGCGCCTCTGTTACCACGAGCCGCTGTTTGCCCGCCGACAAATTCACGTAAACGGAGTTCCACCGTAATTATTTTTCTTATCGCCGAGATTGCGAGGCTCGTGTGCGCGCAATTTGCTCGCGAAATACTCGCGAAAGTATAGATCACCAAGAGAGTAAGAGAAAGACAGTGGGTGGGAGGGTGAGTGAGTAAACGGAGGAGGGAAGCTCGTCGTTTTAACCCCCTAGAGCCTATCCTCGTCGAGCGCCTCGAGCCACCACCTCGACGAACGATGGAGTATGGGCGACGAGTGATAAGAACAGCTGAGGAATTAGCGACAGCGCGATAACGATAACTCTCGCCTCTGTACGACGTAATATAAACGTCAGTGCGGACCAATTACCTCGGCCAGCTGCATTTAATATTCAGCCACGCGTGTGTGGGAGAGGAACGTGTGTGTAGGTGCGTGCGCCCGACGCCCCAGTACACACACACACATACACACACACACAGGGGAGAGACGGGAAATGTTCAATTTTCAATTAATCCGGAGGTTAATTACGGCCGATCCATCAAGGGGTCGCGGCAGCTTTCATTTTCTCCCTATCCGTGTATTCTCTATTTTTCTTTCTCTTTCTTTCGTTCCCTCTCTCTCTCTCTTTCTCTCTCTCTATCCATCCTCCTCTTTCATTGGTTCGTTTCTATCTTTCTTTCATTTTTTTTTCTTTCTTTTTTCTGTGGATTTTTAGGGTGGATTGTGCGAACGAGCAAAGCGACTGGTTGGATGTTTCGGTTACACGCGACGTATATAACGCATCACGATCTTTCTTTTTTTCCAGGTGGATATATTTTCTGTTTACACGAGGACGGAGTAATTAACTCTTTGATGACGCGGCAAGCAGGCCGCGGATTTTTATGCGTTTACCCGGGGATCTCGAAGCGAAAACGCGCGAATTGCCCGAAGTTTCGACGAAGCTTACCACAGCGAGAGATATTTGACGTGGAAAGTAATTTTCTATCCGAGTAGCGCGTCTTCGATTGTACTCTCGAAGAATGTGAAAACTTTCGTGTGCGAAACTTGATTCATTCAAAATGTAATAAGAATATACTATAATATTCGCTCTTTAATGGAGTTCAACTTCGTTCGCATGTCCCACTGATTCAACTGTGTTCATAAAAATTTAAAAGTGCATAAAAATATGTGGTGTAGTATATAATTATCAAAATGCAATGAATGATTATTGCACCGTGTTTATTATTCAATTATTTATTAATTATTACACGGTAGTATGTCGTATATGAATGTTTATTGTATTCATCAGATGAAATGATAAATTTACAGGAAGAAATTGTTTACGTACGTTAATTTGCAATCATTAATCTCGAATCCGAAGGATCAGTTGTAAACTTAATTATTTTCCAATCGACTCGCGTTTATTACCATTTTTTACTCCCTCTGTTTCTTTACTTTTTATAAGGATATTAAAAAGCGGGAGAGTAATTAAAGATCGTGAATATGAAAATGCACACTTCAGTCGTAAATTACAACGTTTCATTGAAAAAGCATAATCTACTAAATTAATTACTAGATTTCAGAAAACTGCGACAGAAACGGCCAAGTCGCCTGTTTCCTGTTTAATGCACGCTTGACGGTGTTTTTTTTTTTTTTTCTTCCTAACAATTTCTTGCTAATCTTTTTCGACGAGAAATGCCAAGTATAATTGCAACACCGTATTTATACACTCTGATACGAATGTAACGTCCTTTTTTCCTTGAGAAAACTGACTATAAATAATTGTAAAGTAGGTACTTGCGATTCAAACGATATGATGGAAATTTTTTTTTTATTAAATCGTTATTTATTCGCATTTTTTCAGAGTGTGACACAAATAATTAGAACGAAGAGAAAGATGAAACGCTGAAAAAATCGCCTGCGAGGAGAAAAAAAAAAGTATTAATCAGAAAGCAGATAAATTAATCATATCTCTCTCTCTCTCTCTCTCTTTTTGTATGTGCTAATGGCAATTTGATTTAATTACCATTGCACTCGTCCCTAATGGAGTATCGTTTTTGACATTATCTGACATCCTGGCTGTGATATCTTAAACTGCGCGGGACAATTATCCGAATCACGAATAGTATAACACGTTCTACATGTCATATTTCATTTTCACTCTGTTGATCCGAACGCTCATTACAAATGAGCCGTATATAGGAGAAAAAGAGACAAACCTAAATCCGCGACGGAATTGAACGTTTGACGTTTTTACAGGCGTCTCGATTACAAACGTCGTGTCACGAGGGAGAAAAAAAAAAGAAAAAAAGTAGAAACAAAAGAATATTTGTCCCCGTTAGAGAATGATGAATAGCTTGATTTTTAACGAGCCTGACAAACAACATAACTGACAACACAATGCACGCTGTTCGAGCCTGAATCATCAAATAAATTTTCAACTGTGTTAACCCGCTCTTGTTTGAATATCACTTCTCCACAATAACGAAAGCTCCATTTCTTTTTTTCTTTTTTCTTTTCATATTACATCATGCTGAATAATTTGAACAATGGATTAAATAGTATAAAATAGTGTACGAGAATTATAAGTGAGAATTTTTCATGTTGAAAAATCGATGCAAATTCGACGTATAAGATATCGTACAAGAAAAATGGGAATATAATAATTTTGATTATCATTTTTCTGTCGGCAACAGAGAACATAGCAAGTTTATTAACAAGTAAAAAAAAAAAAACAATAATGACACATTCACGTGATGCAAAAGTTACTGCAATCACCAACTTGCAAAAGTTAGGGAAACACAGAAATAACACTCAAAAACGTAAGATTACGCAGAGTAAAAGCTGACAAAGAAAGAATAAAAAAATGACATAGAAAGTAACAGGAATAAATACAAAAATTATCTTTCAAGGACTCGCAAAGACAGAGAAAAAGTGAAAGGAAGAGGGGGGGGGGGGGGGGGGAGAAATAATCCTAATTAAACCATTTCAACACGTCTACCCCTTTACGCCATCCTTTAACGAGAAAAATTCAATCGACGCCTGCAATCTGCGCCACATATATTTCTTCTTCTTTCTTTTCTCTTTTTTCTCTTCTCGTATCATCTCTCTCTCTCTCTCTCTCTCTCTCTCTCTCTCTCTCTCTCTCTCTGTGCTTCTCTTTCCCTCGAAATTTTTTGCAAATCGAGAAATTGAAATTCTCGAACGAGGAACACGACGAGTTCAGGCGGTGCTCGCCACCGGGATAACGAACTGTACGTCTAGAATGTTCGATTTCCCTTCATCGCGTCCTCACTTCCGGATGGAAATGGGCGCGAGGTCGATCGAACCTGGCTCTTTCTTTCTCTGTCTCTCTTCCTCTTTTTCCAGGAGGGTCCGCAACCAGCCCGGAACCGAGATGGGGACGCTCCAACGACCTCCACCTTGAAATCGTGGCCAAGCACACGTATACACCTCGATATATATATATTTGCACGAAAATCGTATCTGTATCTGATCGAGCTCGATAAATCCCAGATTATTGGTGCGTCTTTGTCGATAAAGTCGATGACGCGTTCGTATCTTTCGTCGACATCGACGTGAGCAAAGGTCTCGGCCTTTCTTTAACGTTTCGTCGTCGTTTTCTCTTTTTCCCCCCTTTTCTCTTTTTTTTTTTTCTCTCTTTATTTTTTCGTTCTCTATTTGCGTCTACGCGTGTTTAATACGAGTGAGTTGGTTCGACTAGTCTCCTTAGTTTTTCTAAAAGTACGAATTTCTTTAAATTCCAAGCATTTGAATTTAACGCGCTGACAAAATTAATAGTAGACTGCTGATCAATGCCGAGAGTCGAGTTTTAATTTCATCAATTTCGAGTTTCAAATTGAAGCGCGCGCGGAAACGGAACTAAAAAATTGTTTCGGAGAAGCGATTCACGGGGTGTAATGCGGTTTGCGTTTTCTATGGTGTTTGCCCCTATTCAGGGGGGCCAACAACGTTACATTTTCTGGAAAATTCTCTGCAAAGCGGCAGTTTAAAACGATAAAGTTAGCTCCTCGTGAAGTTTCGAAACAGCCCCGCTGAAAGATTCCGGAAAGGGAACTTCCTTCTTCCCCCCTCACCCGGTTTCGCGACAACTTATGAATAATCTTTTGTTTAATACGTGTTCCGTCGTTCTCGCGCGAAGCAACCTCGCGAGGATGGAAAAAAAAAAACTCGAGAAACAAAACCAAATTCTCCCGCCACGTTTTTCCGCAGGTACGAAACGTGCCATTGTTCGTTCGTATATTAAACGTCATATTTAAAAAATTTAAATACATTTAATATATATTTAAATATATAAATATAAATAAAATTAATATTACATATATATATATATATTTAATATATATAAAATTTAATGTACAGTATTTTAAAAATTTAAATATATCGTAAATTTATTAAAATACGAATAATTTAAATATATTTAATATACAAATATATAAATTTAAATATAATTAATACATATAAAATTTAACATACAACATTTCAAAAATTTAAATATATCGTAAAAGATTAAAATACGAATAATTTAAATGTATTTGATATATAAAAAAATAAATTAATATTATATATGTATATATTTAATGTATATAAAATTTAATATATGCTATTTTAAAAATTTAAATATATCGTAAAAGATTAAAATGCGAATAATTCTTGCTTCAGAAAATATTATTCTGAAAAATTTAATTTCCAACATTCACGGGATTCAAATCGAATCAAACTTCTTCAAACGCCACGCCACTTTAGAATCTTCTCATTTTAACAGGCGCCGTATTTCACAAAATTACATCACAATATTCACGGTCGAGTCACAAGTAATGTACTTCTCGGTTTTCACACACAAAATGAAGTATAAATTTCAAATACTTGTTGTAGCTATCTTTTTCCTTTTTATTTCTTTTCTCCTTCCTCCTGTCTTCATTTCGTCTATTACACAAACACGTGTGTTTCCTGTACGTCCCGCGTTAAATGGCATTGTTTAGCCAGCCGCCATCCGGCTAAACAATTTTCGCTGCGAAATTATTTTCGTACAGGAGATAAAACAGACACCGCCGCGAATACTAAATTTCGGTGGTTTCAACGTAACGCGTTGCACGCTATATTTTTCCGCTGCAACTCCCACGCTCACGTTAAACGACAGACATAACGCGACATCGCGATCTTATTTTTCGTCGCGATTTCGATTCAAATGTAAATTCGTTTCGTTCGTTTATCGGTGGCTACGTTTTACCGTTTTCTATGAA